AGGAGGAGGAGGGGGAGGGGGAGGGGTGAGGGGTGAGAGGGAGGGGGAGGGGGAGGGGGAGGAGGAGGAGGAGGAGGAGGAGGAGGAGGAGGAGGAGGAGGAGGAGGAAAAGGAGAAGGAAAAAGAGGAGGAGGAGGTCTCCCCCGTTCTACATATTGTAGTGGTGGTGGAAAGTTTGCCCATCATCTGTCTCCCTCTCCCTCTTCCTCTCTAGCCCTGCCTGCCTGTCTGTGCTCGTGCCTCTGCGCGGGGTGCTGACCCTGGAGGGCTGTTCGCGAGGAGTGGCTCTCGGGGGCAAAAGGTGCACTCGCCGGGCCTTTCCATCGTGAGCGATCGACACAGGTCTGCCCACCACCTTTCTCATGCGCCCTTCCTTCGTCGGGGTGGTTGGGCGGGCAGGCGGGCACGGCAGAAGGGGGCCGGGCCTCCTCAATCATCCTGCCTGCTTCCTCCTCCCCCCCTCCTCCTCCTCCTCCTCGTCCTCCTCCTCCTTCCATTTCCCCCTCCTCCCCCCCACCTCCTCCTCCATTCCTTCGCATTAAGAATAATCCCTGTCGCACTCCGGGGCCAGTCGGAAGGGCCGGCCAGGCGTTTCGCTTGAGATTTCCTTACCAATTATGATCCTGAAGCTGTAAACTTGGCAACACTTTCGCAGATAGAGCGCGGCTCCTTTTCAACATGTAGCTCTCGTTTCAGCGCCGCGCACATTCGTGTAACAAAATTTCAAGAGTTTTACGGATTGAGGGCGGTTCCTTTTCAAAATGTGGCTCTCGCGTTAGCGCCGCGCACGCTCGTCTTCAACATTTGCAAGAATGTCACGGGTTCCCATGGTTACGTGCCAACAACTGTGTTTTGGAGCGGTTCGGGATTGAATCGCGTTGTCGAAGTCCCATCAATGGCGTTCTGGCACGGTTCCAGACTCTCAAGACGAAATTGTCAGGTTGATTCGTGGCGGTCCCCATAATGGTGTTTTGGCCCGCAGCAGGATCTTCCTAGCGGTTGTCTCTTAACGGTGTACTTACCCAGTGGAAAGGAGTCCTTGTAATGGCGTATGAAGAGGGAGCTTGGAGTGAGGGTTTATTCCAACGTCGTTGATAAGTCTTGGGCCTGCACTGGTCCTCCCCCTTCTCGTCCTCCCCCTCCCCCTCCTCAGACCCGCCCCCCTGGAGGCAGGCCAACAGGACTTTAGGATGCGGGCGGTGCTGTGCGAATCACTGGCGCCCTCGATGGACCGCCCACCTCTACTCAGGCGATCGCAAACATGGACCAAGGGGGCGTGGATTAGCGACGGGTCCCGTTTCCAGAGGAAATCGCGCATTTCCGCCGCCGAAGGAGGCGGCACCGGCCGCATCTTGGGGAGGGCACCACCCCCACCCCCGATCCCTGGACTTGGCGACCGCGCGCCCAATCCATGGGTCGCTAATCCATGTTTGCTCGGGCCGGACGAAAGGGGGGGATTGGGAAACGGGGGGTTACGAAGTCTGCTGCATGCAGCTGGTTTCGGCCCCGCCGCCGGGCCCATTCCTCGATACATGGGCGCCTCCCGGCGCCGGGAGGCGCCGGGAGAATCAGCTCCGTGAGCTGATTCTCTCACCCCCCCTTTGCTACATCCCCAGGACGAAAGTTTTTTCCTCTTGGGCCCGGAACGAAGGTTTGAAGTCTGAAGCAGACGCGTGTGAGATACCCGCCGTCGGATCCAATGAAGGTCGCGCGGATCCAATTTTGGTTTTGGTGTGTGTTTCGGTGGATCCGATTTCTGTCCGCGCGGATCCGATTTCGGATTTGCTGGATCCGTGTTCGGTCTTATTTTTCACGGCGGATCCGATTGCTATCCTGTTTAAAATTTATATTATTAAATTTAAACAGGGAACCGGGAGAAATCGGATCCGCGGATCCCGCAAACCGCCCGTGCTAAGATTCTACGGGGGATGGGGGTTCGGTAATTAACTCTCCACGATGGGCGTTGCGTCGTCTCGCGCACACCCATCAGCTCCCCGCGCGCGCGGGTCCCATTTTAAATGAACACATACATCCCTCTCACCCCGGTTGCTGCAAACAGCTCGTCTGGTCGCCGTCCGTTCTGGCGCCGACGTTGTCTTGTGAACTCCTCATGGCCATTTGCACCTCAAGAGGAAAATCTTTCGTCCTGCGTAAGTGCGGCTCGGCCCTGCGTCTCCTGACCCAACGGACGGCCTCTGCGCTATCTCCCGCGACGAGGCGGCGCTCCGCGTTCGGCGCGGGCTCCGCTGTCGCAACTCCAATGAAGTTCGCGCGGTCGCCGCCGAACGAGCACGAGGAGGGCGGCGCATTCCTTCAACGTGGGAACCTCGATGGAGGGCGATCTGCTTTTATCAGAATGTTGATCTCGCCAGAGGCGACGGCGACGATCGATTTTCAAATTTGGCTTTCGGATGAGGCGCCTCACCGGGTCGTGCACGTGCAACTGAACATCATTAACATTTACCGTTTCATGCGCGTGCACACTAACATCATTCATGTTCGCCTCACCGATCCACGCGCACGCGGACGGCGGCCGCCGCCAGTCGCCGAGGCCGCGCGCGGGCGCGCGCCCGCACTCAACCCCGCCTCGCAGCCCCACCTCCGAGGGCGTGGATCTCCCTGCGCGTCTTGCGGAAGCCTCGGTCGATGTTGCCAGCGACCGTTTTCGATCTCGCCGTGTTCATGACCCGGCGCACGCGGGCCTTGTACTGCACCTTCGACATGACCGGCTTCTTCGCCTTGGCATCCATCAAGTCCAGGGCGCGCAGCCTTCTGCGCAACCAGCTCCAGTACCTCTCAACTGGGTTCAGGTCAGGCGACCGCGCAGGCACGTGCCACGTGGACACCTTTGCCTTCTTGTGGGCGGCCTCGCACAGTTTGGAACTCAGGAAGCGCTCGTTGTCGCACAGGACAGTCCACGGCCCGCGCGCCTTCCCCGACGTCGCCTTCACGGCCGCCTGGAAGTCCCCGCTGGCCACCGCCTCTGCCCACTCCTCCTTGGTGACCTTCTTGTTGTCGTGGAACAGAACCGCCGCCGCCCCCTCTTTCCCGACCCCACCCCACATCGGGACCGCTCGGGACAACGGCACCTGGTGGTCGTAGCTCGTCTTGCCCGCCGTCGACTCCACGGCGTCCTCGTCTGGCTTCCGCCAGATCATGTGCTCCCCGTTCCGGAGGAACACCATTCTGTCGGACTCCTTGGACGGCGGCATGGTCAGCACCACTCCGTCAAGGCTCATGCAGAGACGGGCGGTCAGCTGCGCCTCTGTCGTGTCGACGACAGACTTGCAGAACGCGGCGCGTTCCTCCTTCTCCTCGCGCGTGTACACCCTCCGCTTCATGCGGGGCAGCCAGCGGTACCCCGCCTCCCTGAGAGTCCGGCGGATGAGGCTCAGGTCGAGGTCCACCCCCTTGGCCGCGGCCACGTCCTGCTGGAGCGTGGACGCAGTACACGGTCCCTTCTTCCGGAGCGCCACCATGCGCTTGAGGATGTGCTTCGTCACGTCTTCTGTCAGCTTCCACGGCTTGCGCCCGCACTTGTCGTAGCGGGGCGCCTGGCGGCGCCGCGTGCTCTTCAGGCCCCAGTAAGTGTTCGCGCGCGTCCGAGGCGTCGGCCGCTCTCCCGACACGTTCCACACTCGGTCGGCGATATCGGTGAAAGCCAAGCCCTTTCCATCCCTGAGGGCCAGCACGCGGGTTGCGTTCCGGGTGTCTAAGCTCTTGGGGTGCACCACCTCTTGCACCAGCATGCTGCCCGACGGACAGCCGCGTTGCGCCCCGGGCGCGCGGTGGGCGGCGCCGCGAGTCGGTCTGAGCCTAAATGGTTACGGAGAGAGACGACAACGGCGACGACGGCGACCCCCCCTCGTCGAAGATTCCCAGGGTTGGACTTTGGAAGACAACCTGCAAGTACATCGCCAGGCTGACCAAGTCGCCACGACTGCATCCACCGCGCCTCGACGCCATAATTGGCCCCAAGTGCACCCTACGGAGCCCAAGGCGAACCCTCCAAGATGGGCGGGCGGGCGAGGCGCCCGCGCGGCGGCGCGCGCATCTCCGCGCGGCCGCCGACCTCAGCCGCGCGAAAGTCTCGGGCCTGAGATTGCCGCGGGGACCACGCTTCCGCGGCACGACGCAGGGGGCTGACGTCCTGCCGCCCCGGGCGCAGAGCGCGGGACAGGTCCAGCTCGCGGCGGGGGGCGCTGGCGGGAAGTGCGGAAGCACCAGTTGTAGTTTTTGCTGCGCGCAGGGCGAGGCCCGCGCGCTGCCGCGGTGGCCATTCAGACCAGGAAGTTCTGCTTCTCGACAACGACCCGGTTGCCCGGGTTGCCGAGCCAGTCGTGCGTGTGCAGGAAGTCCCGGTTCGTCGTTGAGTAGTTGATGGTCACCGCGATGGGGACCGCGAACAAGTCCAGGTGGTACCTGCACATGCCCCCCTGGGTGGACGCGAACTCGATCTCCCCGTTGTACTTCCCCTGCAGCTTCTCTTGGTTATCAGTGACGAAGGCTGAGTCGCGCACATCATCCAAAATGATGGCGTCGTGCTTGCCCCGCTGGAACGTGCGGAGCGTGTCGGGGAAGGTCTCGAGGCCTCGGCGGATTCGACCCGACCCGCGCGCCTGCCGATCGCAATCGCAATCTGATCGCACCTCGAAAACAATCGCGGCCCGATCTGATCGCGCCGATCTCAGACGTGCTCACGCGCCCTCGCGCGGATCGATCGATCTGCCGAGGCAGGTCGTCAAGCTATCGCCCCGCCCGTGTCGGGATCGCATGGCCACGTAGAATCGCACGAAAACCGTGGGAAACCACGCGGAAATGCTAGAAGTCCGAAGCGGCACGAACGATCATGATTGATCCCGGCGATCGGCCCGTTGATCCCCGAACAGACCCGAAACCTGGCAAGGCCGAGGCGGCGGCGGCCGATCTTGCACTCCAACGGGCACGCGAAGAGGCTCTGCGCCCACTCCGTTTTCCCGGACATCGAGGGGCCGATGACCACGAGAATGGGGTAGCGGAGCCGGTCAACGGCGAACCGCGACAGCCACTCCTGAGCAGCAGGCACCGGCGGGTATGGCTTGTGCAAGTCGGGATTGCTCCGGATGCGTTTGGTCCTCTCCGCAATCTCCCGCTCGCGGGTTACCCGGGCAGCCTCTTCTCGGAGGGCGTCCACGTGGCGTTTGCGGGAGACCGTGCCGTCACGTGCCAGGAAAACGTACTTCTCGTACATGTCAAAGGAGAGCTTGTAATCCCGGAGGAGGCTGTCAAGCCACTTCCCGAAGACGGCGTACGTGCAGGCCTCGTCCGTCCACGCCGGCGCGTAGTTGCCGGCGGTGCACGGTCGTCCCTGGTCATCATAGACGATGTCTTCTCGGCCCAAACGTAAAAGAAACCTCGGTCCATCGACTGCTGGGCCTTTTTGCGACACACCCCCTCCCCCAGCAAGTCGTTACCGTCCGCCCGCGGGCGAAGGCCTTCGAACTGAAAGATGGTGACTGAGACGTCCACCGTCTTCTGACTGAATTGCACGTAGAGGTGGACATGGAGGGTGCCATTCTTGCACTTTTCCAGAGTGGCACACCAAAGGCTCACTTTCCACCTGGCTTTGTTCTGTTCAACAAACGCCACGAACCGCAGCCACTGGGCGTGATCAGTGAAACCAAGGATGGTGACCATGACGCCCTGCGACTGTTTACGGTAATCCTTAGCTTCAGCCTCCCCGTCTGCACCGGCGGCCGGCCCTTCCGCAGCGTATGCCTTCGATGGACGCCGGCCCGGCTTGCCCAGGGAAGCCTGGGCATCTTGCCATGCCTTCCGAGCCTCGTCCAACTAACGGCGCTCACTGGTCCCAGCTTGCTTCCCTCTGACACACCGCCGAGGGCGGTCCTTGGAGTCCACGCGCCGCAGCGCAGACAGAATTGCAGGGTCGGGCGAATCGCGATTGATGCTCACCTGAACCCCGTGCGTGAGTGCCAGGGCCAAGATAACCTTAACCAGCGCCCGCTTTGCAGCCTGGGCGCCGCCCATGGCGAATATGAAATGATATGGAAATGGAGGATATGCAATGATCTTGGGTCTTCAATATAGTCTGAAACGCTTGAGCCAAAATGCGACGCGACGTGGAGGACGATACCTTTTCAAAATGCGGCTCCAGCAGCCCCGCTCGCCTGAGTCATGTGTGCACCTTCAGTTGCTCCCCTCCCTTCACCCTCCATCCCTCCACGTTCCCTCCCCATGCCCCCTCCAGTCCATCCTCCATCTTCCCTGATACCTCCTCCCTCCTCCTTTGCTTCCTCCTCCATGCTCCTACGCCCCATCCATCCCAGTATCCCTCCTACCTCCTCCGTTTCCCCTCCCTCCTCCAGCTTCCTCCCGTATCCACTTCTTCCTTCTCTATGTCCCCCTCTCTCCTCAACCCTTCCCTCCCTCCCTCCTCCCTCCTCCCTCCAGTCCTCCCGCCTCCTTCCCTCGCCCTCGTCCGTCGTCCATCTTCCATTTTCCGTCCTGCATTCTCCCTCCCCTCCGCCCGTATCCCGCTCCTCCATCCTCCCTCCTATCTCCTCCGCCTCTCGCCCCATACATCTCTGCCTCCTCCATCCCCCCTCCCTCCATCACCCATCCTCCGTCACAGATACTGCCTTCTCCATTTCCCTCTCGTCCTTACGATCCTCCTCCTCCTCTGCCTTCTCATGCTCCTCCCCTCCACCTCCTCCACCTCCTCCTCCTCCTCCTCCTCCTCCTCCTCCCTCCCTCCCTCCCTCCTGCCTTCCTCCCTGGACGCCCGTATCGGCCTCCCTCCCTCCCCTCGTCCCCTCCCCCACTCCCCCTCCCTCCCTTCCCCTCTCCCAACGTATCCTGTTGTTGCCCCCCCTCCGCGGGAAAGATCGTCGACCAGGGGGGCGCCCCCTGTCCAGCGGGTTCCAGTACGGCCCATCACGACGACGAGTCCCAGACAGAGATCGTAGACAAGGGAATATGTGCTTGCATGCCGGGCCCTGGCACGGCCGAGCGCGAGTCCGAGCGCAAGGGAACTTTCTTTTTGTTTGCGAGGGCGTCTCAGGCGGGAGCCCCACCTCCTCCACCTCCTCAACCTCCTCCCTCCTCCTCGTTCTCCTGTCCGCCTCCCACGCGTAAAAGATCGTGGACAGGAAATGCTCCTGCTACGGCACACCCCTGCGCGATCTGGAGGCCAGCGCAACGCCAGAGAAGAAGGAGGCCGTCCCCTGGTTGGCGGGCTCCGGCGTGGCCCACCACGACTCCGAATCCGAAACGCAAGCTTTCGCGAGGACGTCCCGGACGAGAACTCGAATCAACGGGCGGGAGTCTTCTTCCGAGTGTTGCGAGGACGTCTCGAGCAGGAACGTTGCGGGGAATTTGTGGTGATGTGTGGTGCGTGGACAACGTGGCAACCAACGTGTCCGAAGGCCAAAACGCTCATCCCCAGGACGAAAGTTTTTTCCTCTTGGGCCCGGAACGAAGGTTTGAAGTCTGAAGCAGACGCGTGTGAGATACCCGCCGTCGGATCCAATGAAGGTCGCGCGGATCCAATTTTGGTTTTGGTGTGTGTTTCGGTGGATCCGATTCCTGTCCGCGCGGATCCGATTTCGGATTTGCTGGATCCGTGTTCGGTCTTATTTTTCACGGCGGATCCGATTTCTACCCTGTTTAAAATTTATATTATCAAATTAAAACAGGGAACCAGAAGAAATCGGATCCGCGGACCCCGCCAACCGCCCGTGTTAAGATTCTACGGGGGATGGGGGTTCGGTAATTAACTCTCCACGATGGGCGTTGCGTCGTCTCGCGCACACCCATCAGCTCCCCGCGCGCGCGGGTCCCATTCTAAATGAATACATACATCCCTCTCACCCCGGTTGCTGCAAACAGCTCGTCTGGTCGCCGTCCGTTCTGGCGCCGACGTTGTCTTGTGAACTCCTCATGGCCATTTGCACCTCAAGAGGAAAATCTTTTCGTCCTGCGTAAGTATCCCCCCCTGTCGCCCGACCCGATAATCCATGTCTGCGCGCCCCCGACTCTGTGGCATCCAGTGGCCCCCCGGCCCATCCCGCCTGGTCGCAGGTCCGAGGCCTCGAGGCCCGCCCCGGGGCCCCCGGCAGGGACGCGCCGCGGGAGGCCACGCGGCGGGGCCGGGGCGCGCCGGGGGCCCCGGGAGATGGGAGGACCTGGGGTCGGGATCGAGGATGTCGGGGGCGGCAAAGAGGGGGGGGAGGACTAGAGGGGGTGGATATCACGGCGAGGGCCACGATAGTTCCCCAGATTTCCTGGCGCCTCTTCTTGTTTCGTTACGCCCCTGGCCCCCCCCCCCCTCCTTGGGCCGCGCACATGCCGCCGGCCATGATTTGCACGCCGCCCCTCTCTTGGACGCCCCCTCCTCTTGGCCGCCCCCGAGGGTTGCGGCTCGGGGGGCCGAGCGGGGCGCCCCGAGGGCACTCACCAGCTGTCCCTGCGATGGGCCTCGCCTCGCCTCGGTGCCTGCCTCCGCGGGGTTGCCCGCGTCCTCTGGCGGCGCGTCCCTGAGGTCGGTGTTGCCGATGATTAGCTTTATGTCGGGCAGGTCCCCCTACACAGGGATTTTCGACGGAAAAATAAGAATACCCCCAAAATATTCCAAAAAAGTTAAGCGTACGCAAAACATAGTCCCCTGACTGGTTTTGGATCATTTTTTGATGATTTGTTTCGTTCGTCGACAATCCCCCTGTAGGGGGACAGGCCCGACTTAAGATCAGCTCGTGACTCTTCGGGGCAGGGATCGGTTCGGGGCCGGTGGGGCGCCGCAGCTGCTGCCTCGCAGGCGCGGTGTGTCGCAGGCGGCGGCGAGGGACGGGTGGGAGCTGAAGCATCCTCCCGCCTTCCCCTCCTCCTCCTCCTCCTCCTCCTCCTCCTCCTCCTCCTCCTCCTCCTCCTCCTCCCCCTCCCCCTCTTGGGGGCCTCCCGCGGCCGACCGTCGAGGGGAGGGCGGACGGCGGCCCTTGTCTGGTAGGAGCCCGAAGGGCAGCCCAGTCTGTACCACGCGGGGGGACGAGGGGGGGAGGAGGCGAGGAGGCGGGGAGGCCCGAGGAAGGAAGGGCACCAGCAGCGCTGCCCCTCGCCTGCCACCCACGGCGGGGGAGGCCGCTCGAAGCCTTGGCCAGGAAGCGCACTCCGGGAGCGGCGTGGGCACCCTCGCGTTTGCCCAGGAGGGGGGCGCACGGCACAGAGCTGTGGGCTCGCTGGGTGCCCTCATGGGCGGCGAGCGCTGTGCAGCGGTGGCGATTTCCCCCCCCGTCGCGTCTTGCAGCATGCCTCCCCATCCCCGACCCCAGACCCCCTCGAGTTATGGAAAAATCACGACGCGAGGTTTTTCATGATTTTCGGCCTCTGGGGGCCCTTACCGGCCCTCGGGACCGTCAAAAAACGACTCAGGACGAAAAACCGGTCCCGGGGAATGGGTCCGGACCTCTGGGGGTCGACGTCATGAAAAATTCATGACGTCGGGGGTCCGGGACCGCAGCGTTCCACAACGTCGGCGGCAGCTGAGCAGCGTTCCCCGTGCCGCGGTGGCCCTCCCAGCTGAGAGGGAGGAGGGGCGGCGGGGGGCCGCTGGTCACGCTCGTCTCCCCTCGGTCTCCGCCTCCGCCCCTGTCTTACTTCCGTGGTCGAAGCCAGGCGTCCTCATTTTTAAGCGTCAATGTCCCGAGTCTCTCAACGCCTCCCGCCCCGCAGAGCGGAGCGGCACGCTATCAGCTCGCAGGGCATGGCGTGTCGCTGGGGCCGCCGCCGTGATACGCTATGCAAAGTTCCCGACTGTGGGATGCAAGTCTTTGGAGGTTGAATCAGCATAGGCGCAAGTGTATCCGTGCCTGGAAACGCACCCGATCCAGCATAATGTTGCTCAGTTCCATCGGGTCTCGCACCCAGTCTGGCTTAATCCCAGGCTTCAGGCGGACAGAACCGGCTCATGGCTCATCTATCGGCCTGCTAGCCAACTCGTTCTTACGACGACCTCCCAGCAGTTGCCTCTTGGCTCCCCTCCCCCCCGGGCTCTGAAGGCCAGTTGGGCTTCCGAATGAGAGTTGCTGTTTCTCTTCTTCCTTCTCTCATCCTCGTCCTCATCATCTTCCTGCTCCTCTCATTCCATCTGTTCCGTTTGCCCTGAACACAGCCGACGCAGAGTTTTGCCCAACTCTGCTTGCGATTGCTGCTTGATTTCCTGCCCACGCGCCAGAGGGGCATGGCTCGTGGGTGCGTGGCATGGCACGAGCGCGGTTCAGTTTCTAACCCGCCCGTGCCCTCAACGGTCGCTCCCTCGCGGGCAAACAGGCTTGACCCTGACCTGGACCTCCCCCGCCTTACACCTGAGTTTGTTTTCATCCTCTGGCGCGTCACGCTCGTTACCCGGGACCGCCCCCCCAGTACAGTCGGACCGCGGTATCCTCGCGACAGTCGGGCCCAGCACCGACCCGTGAGGTCCTCGCGGACCCTGGACAGTCTGAGCTCGTCTCGTTTTTGGGGATCCCCTTCCTACTACAGTCCGACCGGGGTATAAGATCGAGGTCGGTTCGGGGAGGGTGGCCTAATGTTGTTTGTGCTTGTCGGATGCGCTTGTGCATCCTGGGGGAGGGTACCCTCTCGGGTGCTGTGTGTGTTTGGCCAGTGGAGAGTCTCGTAGGTAGGGGGAGGGCCGGGGGCGTAAAGCCCCCCCTCCCCATGCTGGTGCTCGCGCGCGTACTGTATGGCATCCCCGCCCCGACGCGCCCCACCCCGCCCAAGCGTTAACCCATCGGCCGTTGAAATTAGGTATGTTTGGAGTCCCAGGTTCCAATCTACTTCAACCGCCTGTCTACTTCAAGGATCGAGTGGCTTCACCTGTTCTGTCCTCTTCAGGGGGCGGGCGGACACCCAATCTATTTTCAACGCCTTCCTACTTCATGTTTCTACCTTCTTCCGACCGGTGGGTACCATTACCTGGGGCCACACTCTCCTCAGGTGCTGTGGGTTCGCGCCGTGTCGACCGGCGACGACCCCGC